GCTCGCCCCAGTTTCCGAGCACTGCATTTCCCAGGAAAATCAATGACTGCTGAGAGCACAGGGTGCCTGAGGAGACGCTTAAAGGATGGTGCAGAACAATCTCTGACATTACACGTTCCTGTTGTGGAACATCTGACGCACACAAAGTCCCAGGTACCGAACAGACGCTCTGCAGGAGTGGGAATCTCTTAAGACTAAAATACACACAAAGACCTCACAACAGAGCACTGAAGTCTCACCTGCATGCTCAGAGGCATGTGTTCCTGGTGTTATATGAACATCCAGCTTCACAGGCACCACAAAAGAAGAAGAGGATGAGTTAACAAAACATGGGAAGTTCAAGCTACTGAATAAAAATAAGACAGTAACAAAAAGAGGGGGAAATGGACATTCTTGCCAAGAGCAGTTACTATATATAACAGAATAAAATTGAAGTCTAAAATCACAGCATACTCTGCATTCCATCTGCTAAAGCCTGCTTCAGACAAGGGTGGGGCACCAACCTCTCCTTCTCCTGGGCCATAAAGCACTGCAGGTAATTTTCCTCCAAACCCCAAGACAATGACTGTCACAGAACCATAACTCTGCACTGATATTCAGCCCACTGCCCCCTCTGTTCCTGGAGTCTCCCTCACTCACAAAATGAAAAACGCTCTAGTTATTTTCACTATAAAGTTGGGGGGGGTTGCCCTTTTTTTTTCTTTTTTTTTTTCCTTTTTCCAAACACAATCCCCCTTTTTTGCTTCCCAGAGTGATGTGGTCGCTCACCTTGAACCTCTCAGGCAGAGACCTAAGCAGTTTGACCTTTATGGAGAGGCCGATGAGGGTGGCCATGCTGCAGTGTGGGATGGTGGGGGTGAACTCCACCGACACCGTGCTCTCAGCATCGTTCACCTGGGCAAAAACCAACACCAGCTGGGGACAAAACCTGCTGATTTTACCCCAAACCAGCCCGAGGCCTTTCATGTGACGTGCAACGTGGTGCTGCACTGTCACTCGTACCTCATGTCGTTCACTGACATTCTGAAATATCATTTAATAACATAATATTATACATACATATAAATATACAGATATATTAATTATAACTATACGTTATCTATAATAAAGTATAATAATACATGGTTATAATATATCGTTATATAAAATAAATACTATTTAATTAGTTAAAATACTATTATTAATTTTAAGCACTATGCAGTAGACCGTTACGATAAACATATTTTAAGGCTAGAAGAAGTAATTAGTTAGCCAGCCGGCTGAGGCCGCTTTGCCCCCCCACCACAGCGAGCACATCTCGGCGGGGTCTCACTTTCACTCGCACTTGCTCCACCACGTTGAGCTCTTCCAGGGTGAGGGGGTGCTCGGGGTCATTGATGGAGCGGATGAGATGTGCGGGTTAAGGAAAGCGCCGCGGCCCTGCCCGACCCACCCTGCCCGGCCCTGCCCTGCCCGACCCACCCTGCCCGGCCCTGCCCTGCCCTGCCCGGCCCAGGATATCGAAGATCTCGCGGTCGTCGATGGGGTCGGGCAGCTCCTCGTCCTCGTCGCGGGCGGTGACGGGCCGCTCCCCGGAGCGCCGGTAGATCAGCGGGTTCGCGTTCTCCAGCGGCGCCGGGCCCGGGCCCACCATGGCGGCGGAACCGCCCGGACCGCGATCGGCAGCGCACCGGGAACGGCCGGGGCCGTCCCTGTTCCCCGGTACCTCCCTCCTCAGGGCGGGGAGCGGGGCTGTCCCTGTTCCCCGGTACCTCCCTCCTCAGGGCGGGGAGCGGGGCTGTCCCTGTTCCCCGGTACCTCCCTCCTCAGGGGAGGTACCTCAGGCCGCCTTCTCACAGTCAGGAAGTCTTTTGTTGTCGTATGTGCCCAATAAAATACCAGGCCTCCCTTTCCCACTGATGTTATCCTTATGACTTTGCGTTCCCAAACACACGGAATTTCTTGTATCTCGTTTAAAAACACCAATTTTTGTGAACCTACAAGGACAGAAACACTGGTTCAACTAACAAACCAATAATGGGCACAAAGGCTGCTTCAGACCAAATCAAGGGGAGGAATAAAATGTCCAGCACTACAGTTTTTGCAATCAGCTGTTACTTAATGATGGCTTTTTGCAAGTAACGGTAACAGCTGGGGTTTTTTGCACGTTAGCCTTGAGGCTCAGGTTCTGCAAAGAAACCTGAAAAATTCATCCCTGAGACCCTTCAGGTTGAAGAAAGAAACTGGGCACCTTTCTGGCTTGCTGGGTGTGATTTGACCTCTTGGAATTAGCCTGTGTCAGTTCAATGAAAGAAAAGGAAGTTCCAAAAAAAATTGAAAGCAACATTTATTTATAACAATTCACAAACCAATAAAACAAGTGGAGGTTTTCTGTCCTCACTTGTGAGATGCTGAGCCAATCTCACAGATGTCCTTTGATGGGTGCTCTGCTCCCTACAAGCTATTTCCAATTAAAGAAAGTGGAAAGAGGCTGTAAGAAGGACAA